ACAGTTTTTGCAGCTGATAATTAAAAGTAACAAAATATACAATCCACACGAGGTGCGTCGCCTAGCATTGTATTTCAGCACTTTCATGCTACGACAAAAAATGATAAATTCATTGTAAAACACTTCAATTAAAACAGAATTTTTTAATAACCTAAGATCAACCCCAATTAGAGAAACGTGTTAATAATTTATTAATAGTGCAAGAAACTAAAAACAGCACATACTTATAAATTTCCAACGGGCCATTATGATCTACAGGCCAGGTGACAATCGCCACCCCCCCCCGTGCCAGTCCGCCCCTGGTTATACACTGCCTTTTTTTGAGCCCCGAAAAAAATTGTTTCAGATCGACCCGGAAAAAAAATTTTCTTATAGAATGTGGCCTGTAGAATTCATAATTTCAAACAGTTCCAAGATTGGGTTACTAGTTCAAAAGTTACAGCCCTTTAAATTTTTTTTCGAAATTGGTATCTTTTGATTGAGAAGTCTGATCGAAAAAGCACGAATTGTTTTGGATTGTACTCTCCAAAATTAATAAGAAAAAGTGTTTTCCCGAGAAATTTTGGTGTAGTCGATTTTTGGTAAAAAAGGAAGGTTATACATTAAGACCCCAGCAAATCTTAAGTGTAACCTGCAATCATTGTGAAGAAAGTGAAAAGGGACAGGAGGAGATATAACATGACCCTTACACGTCCGGGGAAAGAATTGACCTGTGCCTGTCGTAAAAGGTGACTAAAATGGCACCAAATGACTCCCGATATAAGATGCAGAAGTCAACGGAAAACCACTGCATTAAAGATCTGTTGATATCCCAAGCGGACTAGTGGGCAGTGTAGGAAAGGAGGCGGTTACGGGATTGGTTGGAAAATGCGGACTCGGAGAAAGGAATGAAAGAGGTATTGGCAGAAGGTATATATATATAAGAACGGAGCTGATCTATTCAGCAACCACATTCTCTTAGCTGCAGATTTAGAGATAACACTGAAAAGAGCGAGGAAAACTGCTGATTGTAGAAAATTGAATTGGGAAAAATTGAAAGAAAGCTTGGGACGGAACATCAAGGACGGAAGAGAAACATTGAGAGAGGGTAAAGAAAGGTGTAATATAAATTAGCAAAGAGCGCATCGGTTTCAGCAAGGGGAGAAGAATAAAGAAACCGTGGGTAACAACAAAAATGATAAATAAGATCAAAGGAAAGCTAAACATTTAATGACATGATTTGGTATATAACAAAATTTAAGAAGAATACGATGGATACGGGGACAAAAGGTGGAACTATAACAGGGATAGAAGTCATAGAGGAGAATGTAGGAGAGCAATAGTTTGGTTTGGGAAGAGGAATGGGCACGAGAGACGCAATAGGAGTGGTGAGACAGATCGGAGAAAGATATTTGGAAATAGGATTCGATTGGGTAAAGAAATTGTTGGAAATACTAGAGAGAGAGGGTGGGAACGGCGACTAATACGAAACTTATACAGTGTGTCCCAGGTAGAACGGACCATGGGTAAACGGCAATGTATTTTTTCGCATAGGATCCAGGACGCCTTTGAAATTACCGTTCAACGTACTACTCCAATCTCTTTCTATCATTAGGCAAGCGAAATAACGTACGTTGAACACTAACTTCAAATAACGGCCGATCAAAAATGAGTGACGGTCGAGTCGCCTTTGAAAGTTCAAGTTTCCCATGTAAACAAAAATTCCAAAGGTGACTAGACAGCAATTCATTCTTGGTCGCATAGTACATATCAAAGGCCTCGTGGATCCTGCGAATAAAATACATTAATTCTGTTTGCCTATTGGTGCGTTCAACCTGGGACATGCGGTAAGTATATGAAAAAAAAGTAAAAATCAGGGTTGGCTGTAAAAAAACGAATTGGTGTGTAATCGAAAGAGGAGTTAGACAGGTATGCGGTTTATCGTCCACCCTTGTTTAATTGATATGTAGAAGACATAGTGGAAATGTGTTGGAAAATTTAGTATGAACATCGGAGGAAAGAAGATGATAGTGTACGATTTGTGGAGAATGAAAAAGAACTAGAGTTAGATGACATGAAAAGGCCACAGAATTAACAAGAGCAAAACAAAATTTATGAAAGTGGAAGTGCAGAAGGATATTCAAGTAATAGTAGATGTGGTGGGGATAGAGCAAGTGGAAAGATATAAGTATTTAAGTACATAGATAACACAAGGTTAGAAAAGCGAAAGAGAAATTCAGATCAGGATAACGATGGCAAAACAAGCATTTAATAGTAACATGCGAATTTTATGCATCATATGGAAATTGAACTGGTTCGGACATGAAAGAACTGTTTGTTGAAGGAAATAATCGAGGGAACTGTTCAAGGAGAAAGGAAAAGAGGAAGAAGAAGAAGGAAATTGATTGACGACCTGAACGAAGGAGAAGATGAATATGAAAGCGTATAAAGAGTTGTGGAGAAGAGCCCTCAAGCACCTGCATTGGCAGAAAACCAATGTTAATGATGATGTTTGTTACATAGAAGAATTTGTATTGATTGCTAAATGTCGTCCATAGTGTTGATGTAGCACATTGATCGGATTTTATAACAAGCGAAATTAAATATTTCTGTATTGGCAAGTACAAGTAAATTAATTATAAATTAAAATGGTGGACAATATTAACTCGGTACCGTTTAAAACGGAAATTCCTGCTTGCATTGCAGTTATCTTGACAAAAATGTAGTTCCATATAGAAAATTTTTTGATAGTGGCAGTGAAATGGAAATAAATTAACATACCTCTAGACTCAAGGAGTAAATCCATGGGACATTTTTAATTAATTCGAAAAGCACATCCGTTCACTCACTACAAAGTCACGTAACTGAATGGTGAATTTACAACCGGACATATAAGGCGTTCAAGATAATAGACCCAATTATTCTGTTTACAATGAAATTGATAAGGGACGACTTTGAACTGGAACGTTGCTCCTCCTCTTAATTTTATTGTTACACTTAGTACACACGCTTCCCCGGCTTTCCTCGCTAAATACTGCAAGACCGTCGATACGAAAAACCATCCCCTCGAATCCTATCAACGCGCTGAAAAGGATACTTCCTCCTATACATGCCTAAGTGCCCGTCTTTTGTGTATCAAAACCGCAAATTCGCCGGCCTGGACAAACGGTTCCGATATCGCTAGATCGACAAACTGAGCAACGTAGTAAAGAAAATTTTCCGTGTCACGACGGCGATAGGAAAAACTAGTTCAAGGTTGGCGTGCGTTGGAGATAAAACTGGAAAGTAAACAGTATATAAACGCGTTTGCGAAAGGCCGTTTTAGTTATTTATAAAAGTTTATTTCAATCAAATTTCCGACGAGAGTCGATCGGACGCAATCAATTTTGAAAGAAGCCCCAATACTGTTTCATTACGGTTTTCGCTGCAATGGACGAAACGCTACGGGTAATTATGCAATAATCTAGAAAACTGAAGAGAAAATTGTCGTTTCACTAACGTTCGAATTTTGAACTTTTCGTGTTGGACACGGTGTACGGTAGAGAAAAGTCCTCTTCCATTTTTATTTAAGGAACTAACAGTGCTACAACTCATTTACGTTGGCAATGAAACATTGCACACGATGTTCTAATGGGTAATCTCCTGTCACGTTTTCATTACTGCAGAAAATAAACCAAAACCCCTCTACGCTGTAAGGAATAAGCTGCGGGAAATTGGGTGGAAAAACTTGTACGTTCGAGAAAAACGAATTCAATTTTCTCGAAGCAGTTCGTCGTTTCTTTTCGATGTATTATTGCGTTAATAAAATTTTTGGAAGATTCGGGGCCTACGTGTAGCTGTATGGCAGTTAACATGAAAATTACTCACAAACTACCGCCTCGTAATTTATTATTAGTACGCAACTAATCTTATTCGTTATTTTGAACGAGAAAGTTTCATTTCACAGGGAGATGCGGATGCATTAAATATTAGCCTGCGAACAGTGACTCCTATTTTACAAATTTTTAAAACGGGCATACTACTAAAAGTCCTAAAAATGCAACGTAAAAAACCCGTCAGCGATGTTGATGGTTTCACACAAGCAGTTTCGAATTAAACCGGAAGTGATCAATGTGCAATTTGACAAATGTTTCTCACCAAACAAAAGAGACATTGCGGTGACCGTCTTATCTACAACGCACTGTATAGATTTTTGTGGTTCGACTACAATAATTGAGTAAAAAAAATTAAATTTGTGCTAAAAATCCTTAGGCGCGTGTCACTGATGAGTTTTCGTTTTACATAAATTTATTTGCGCATTTATTAAAACTTTTAATGAAATTTTACCGAACATTTGAAAAACAAAGCTGTCAAAATTGTCTGCGTGCAAATCTGCAGATAATGACGTGTCAAGTAATTAAAGATTGAGCGCGTGCAGCATAATGACAGTATTAACAATTTGTATTACAAATGAACGCGAAAATCTAATTAAGCGACTGAAGCAAACCGCCATGCAAATTGGGCGACTGTAATTAAATGGCGAAATAATCTAACCAAACCGAATGTAAATAAGAAACAAAACACAGACCAGAAAACTAATTATTATTTGTCCCACTTTGTACTAAATCCCCGTTCAGCCTCAATTACCAGCGAGTGGCTCTTAACAAAATTATTTTTTCCCCGCAAATACGCCAAAAAAATTATACCATGTGCTTAAAACGTTTAAAAGCTCGATCAATCCCTACAATTAATTCAATTCCTACTGCAATGTAATTATTGTTTGCAGGGCGGTATTGAATGTGTTTTCTAGGCAAAGCGAGACAATAAACGATCATGAAAAACATATTATATTGTATTATTGTATTATTTATATTATTATTGTATATTATATTGTATATTATATTGTATATTATATTATTGGATCCGTGAGAGAAATTCTTTAATACCAACTGTCATTCGAAAACTTTGAAAACGCACAGAGGGAGATGAATAAATAATTTTCCATTTTCGCATGCATTATAAATGGGACCGTATAAACTTACCCGCTGAACCCTCGCCTCTTATTAACAGGTGAGGATGTGTTAATTGTTCCTGAACTGTCGCTGGCCGCTGCATCTGTAAAGAAAAACAAACAGTTAGTAATTGCAAAACTTTTTACGTGGCATTCTTTTTAAGTGTAACGATTCCAGAATAAAGGAGCGCGTATTTAAACTGATAAATTCTAATTTTACGCCATGAAAAGTATTCAGTGATAATAAAAGTATAATCTAAGAAGGCAAAGAAAGTAGAATACGACGTTTAAGAAATAGTCATGCATACTATGATTTAGATAAAGACTATTTTAAGGAGCACGAAGAAAATTTTTTCCCCAACCAATGTTTCACAAACTGTGGATAAGTACCAACTTTGTTATTTTAAATAGAACAATATTTTTTTAATTCCTTATTCGATAGAGAATTTGTACTCTCTTAGATAATGATTTTTATTATAGGTCAAATAAGTGTGCCATGGACGACACAAGTTGAATATGAATTGAGATTTTAGAGTGCTGTGACCGAAACAATCGCACTATTTATGTTGTTTACCACAATTGCTATTATTGTTCTATGAATATTGAATAAGCTTACAATATAATAGAAAAATGCGTAATTTTACTCATAATGAAAAAGTTGATATGTACGAAGTGTACATTTTAGCAAGTAAAAATACTTGCCTCGATTAGAATTTAGCAGGAGAAATATCCTGAAAGAGAAGTACCATCACATAAATATGTTCGAGGAATAGAATCCACACTTATTGAAAAACAATAAATAATAATATTGAAATAGATATTTGGGCCTATTTTGAGGCAAATCCAAGGGTAATGATTAGAATGGCTGGTACCGAGTACCAGTGTAATGTAAGAAGAGTACATAAGATTTTAAAAATGAATAAATACAGAGCATTTAAACTAAAAAATCCAACATTTACATTTTGGAGACCATGCAAGACGCCTTGAGTATTGTTATTTGTTGTTAAACGAAGGATGAATGAATGAAATTTTTGGCATTTTCACTGGAAGAACTGGAGTACCGAGATAATTGTGCGTGAGATAGAAAGATAACATATAAAAAAATAGCACTAAGGTTCTCTCACAGATGATCGGTATTTACAATTTTTAAGAGACGTGTCAGCAACTTCAAATCAACCCTTGCACTTGTGAACTGGGAGAATGTATGGGAGTGCGATGATGTAGACTCGGCTTTTCAATTATTTTTTGAGACAATTCTATGGTTATTCAATCTTATATGTCCCGTTATAATCAAAGTGGTAACAACCAGAAGTACTGGGCAAGGACCAAGGTGGTTTACATCCGAATTAGCAATTGCTAGGAACGATCTAAAACACCACTTCTCGCAACTAAAATCTTGTGATTCCCAGTGCGTGTTGAAACACTACAACTTAAAAAAGCGAAGATATAAGCAACAAGTTAAACAAGCTAAACGCACATACTATCAAAAGGTTATATCAGACTCACAGAATAAACCCAAAACCCTGTGGACAATGGTGAATCGTGAAACTGGGCGAAATCGTGAAAAAAGTAGAATTGCACTAAATCATGAAAATACACTAATAACTCACACGCAGCAAATTTCTAACTTATTTGGAACATACTTTTCAACAATAGCTTTGGACCTGACCAATAAGCACTTTGACAAAAACACGACATGCTCTGTTACATTAGACAACAGAATTAGTCAATCAATCTACGTCTATCCAATAACACAACACGAACTAAATCGTACATTGGATTCCCTAAAAAACACCTCGTCATCAGGAGAAGACGGTATCACTGTGAAAATCTTGCGACACATTTGGACGTCCATTGCACCTGTCATACTACATCTATATAACAAATCATTAGCCTGTAGAACTTTCCCCGGCTCACTAAAAACTGCTCGTGTAATTGTGTTATACAAGAAGGGGGATCCGACAAGTATTGAAAATTACAGACCAATATCATTGTTGAGTATTTTCTCCAAGCTCTTGGAAAAAATTATCTCCAATCGATTAACATCATTTATAAATAAATTTAAAATCTTGCCACCCTGTCAGCATGGCTTTCGGTCAGGGATGTCTACTGAAAGCGCAGCGTTCGATCTACTAACACATCTGTACACAGAACTAGACAAAAGGAAACTGATCAACGTTCTACTGTTTGACATCAGTCGTGCCTTTGATACCATCCAAACAGAATGTATCTGTTATAAACTCGAACATCTGGGTGTTAGGGGACCGTTGCTCGCGTGGATAAGATCTTTCTTGACGGGAAGACAACTATACATGGACATAGAAAATGTGCCATCTAGATCTAGGACGTTTGAAGTATCTTTGGGTGTTCCTCAAGGATCAGTGCTTGGTCCTCTGCTATTTTTGTTATACTGTGCTGACCTTCCAAAGTTCGTAAAAATTAGTAAATTGGTAGGTTTCGCTGATGATACTACAATTGTGGTCTCGGCCGATACCTCAAATGATTTACTTACTTTAACCAATCTTGCCATGAAGGAATTTAAAAACTGGTGTTGTGTAAATAAACTTGTTTTAAATGTTGAAAAGACCGTATGTCTCCAGTTTGGGAAGATGAGGCCATCAAATGAAACCAATATAAGACAAAGTTTTTGGGTATTTTTATTGACGATGAGTTATCGTGGCGCCAACAAATAGACCATGTTTGTAAAAAACTTAACAAGACTTTTTATCAAAACGCTCTACTCACAATATACTATGCTCTGGCATACCCCCATCTGGCATACGGTGTAATAGCATGGGGAGCAGCTGGGGAGTGTAGTAGAGTATTTACCTTACAAAAAAGACTTGTTCGACTAATATTTAATATTAAGCCCCTAACTTCACATAAAAACACTTTTATTGCCATCAAAATGCTTACATTTCCAAGCATTTATATTTATAAGTCAAGCATGTTTGTCCATAAAAATCCTAAATACTTTACCCCATTGAATGCTAATCATGACTATAAGACAAGAAACTCTGATATCCTCACTATTCCCGTTCACCGTACGACCAAATTCGAAAAAGGACCATTGTACAATTGCATAAAAATATATAATTCCCTTCCATCTACTATTAAAAATTTGAAAAGCGACATGGCATTTAAAACGGCACTAAAAAGTTTTTTAGTGCACAATTGTTTCTATAAAACAAGCGATTTGTATACACTGTGATTTATATTGACCAACTGTGATACGACAAATTTTTAATGTGTTTTTTAATGTGTTTTTGTTAATATTAGTGACTATGTCTATGTCAATGTATATTGATCACAGGCAATAAACATATTATTATTAAACATATTATTATTATTATTATTAATATGCTACTTCTTCAGTGGATTAGTACTAACGGCCCTATTTCATGGCTTGCAAGGTCGCCGGATTTAAATTCATTCGATTTTTATATGGGGCTATTTAAAGTATAAAATTTACAATAATGTGTATCCAGATTTACAGCATCTAAAAAACAGCATAGAACATGTTTTAAATAATATTAATGACCGGACGTTAAGAAGCAATTTGTTCCGAAGAATTGTTTTTCACATTCATTTGTATCGTCCATAGTACAGTAAACTTATATACACGGATATACATCCCAACAAGCAATACAAAATATTATATCACTGAATTCAAAATAAAATTCTCTGTCCAATAAAGAAATAAAAAAAATACAGTTCCATTTAAAGAACAAAGTTGGTATCCAATAATTCAGAACCAATGGTTGACAAAAATTTTTTTTTCGTGAGATTAAAATAGTTTCTTAAAATAAAAATTTTTTACTGATTCGTAGCTGCTGTAGTTCTCGAGATAGCAGTAGTGGACAAAATGAAATGAACACCCTGTACACCTATAGTTAAACATACAGTATGACGATCAATAAGTAGTTATGTACACCAGTTTATTGAAAAGGTGTAATCAACATTTGAAGGAAGATGCACCTTGTCTTACTGAATTTGTCTATAATAACATCATTTTCTGTAAATTACCAGGCCATAAAGTAAAGAACAACCTTCGCTAACATTTTCCATTACAGTTTTATATTTCTTATTCTAATCGATTTTAGTAGTCAAATGAATCTCCTTTTGATGTATATTATTATCGACTTTGGCGAGATTTTTTGTCATATTGAAAGAAACCAAAGACCGTCAAGTTTAATTTTTTTTAAATTCCATTTAAGGGGCGGGAATCATGAAAAATTTTATATTACATTGCTGTGTGCTGTGGATAACGAATAAAAATGCTGCGCCCCACGAAATTTCCTCTTATTTCCCCAAAATTTGCTCCATTTCCTACATATTACCCAGATAGTTCCTCGAAATTTTCTATATGAGAGACAAAAATTTCCCTGGTGATCAACCCTTCGAAGTTGGTCACGACTTATTCCCTTCATTACATAAAAAATTGCTACAATTACCCTAACATTTCTAAGAATGCCTTAAATTTTCCCAACCGAAAATTTCTCCGAAATTATTAATAAGTAACGTTTACTTTCCTTTAGAAACCGTTAATTTCCTTAGAATTTCCTTAAAATTTTCTCTTATTCCCTCAAAATTTTCTAATATTTCACGAGAATTTCCTCTAATTCCCCGACATTTCCTATATGAGGAATAACAATTTCCCTTCTGATCAACCTCTCGTAAAAGACGTTTGAAAATTAGCTGCCGGAAGACCTGCTCCAAGAGAATTTTCCTCCGGAAAATACCATGGTAAGAAATTCGCTCCCGTCCCCCCATGTATATTCCCTCAGGCAGAAATTGGTCTACGGAAAATTGTCGCGGGGGGTACAACTCCGGAATTTTCGTCCCCAAGAAGAATCGCCCCAGGATTTCCTCTTTCGGGAACTTCAGTATATGATTTTACAGTTCCGAAAAGTACCTACTGTCGATGCCAGGCCAGTTCTCGTAAGAAGTGTACTGCACCATTAATTAGTTAACCCATCTCCCTATTTAAAAATAGGGGTTAAATCAATTTTTATTCTTGCATTTTTTTAAATCTCAAAAAATTGTTGACAGTATTTATATTCAAGCTGTGAATTTTCTCTCAGATGCAAAGAGTAAAACGCGA